GCGCTTTTTCAGGCTAAGGAGCCCCAGGGCTCTCAGCCTCTCATCGTAGGGTCTGCTTCCCTGACCTCTGATCATGCGTGTGGCTCTTCTCTGCACTCTCTCAAGCTTCTCCACATCCTTTTTGAATTGTGGAGTCCAAAACTGGACACAGTACTCCAGCTGCGGCCTCACTAAGGCCGAGTACAAGGGGAGAATAACGTCCCGGGATTTGCTTGAGAAGCATCTATGGATGCAAGCCAGCGTCTTGGTCGCTTTACTAGCCGCCACATCGCATTGCAGGCTCATGTTCACCTTGTGGTCAATGATGACCCCCAAGTCTCTTTCTTGCATAGTGTTGGCCAACATAGCACTGCCGAGCCTATAAGGATGCTGCGGGTTTTTCTTCCCAAGGTGGAGAACCTTGCATTTATCGGCGTTGAACACCATCAGATTCTCGTCCGCCCACTTGCTGAGCCTGTCCAGGTCAGCCTGGATCACCCGCCTATCTTCTGGTGTGGATGCTTTTCCCCAAAGTTTGGTGTCATCGGCGAACTTGGCCAGTCCACTTCTGACTCCAGTGTCCACATCATTAATGAAGATGTCCTCTAATTCAATTTGGATTTGGAGATTCGGCCACTGAATTGGGCCGAATCGAATCAGGGACTGAAGCTTTACACAGCCCTACTATTTTCAGCTTCTGTTCTCACCCTGCATCCAGCTGCATTACATCACTGGTGACCACTTGGCTTGCTGTCCTTTAAGGTGGCCTTGTCACCCTGGCTGCTAAAGTCTTGAGGGTGTCTCTGAATGCCAGGCATTACTCAACCCTGGGGCTCTAAAGTGGTTAGATGGTAGCTCCCTCAGCTTTTATGAGCTATAACTTTCCAGAGGTTTGAGTCAGATTTGTGCTCCTTTATTTTACCTACTCATGGGAGTTAGATAATACCCCCTTTCCCTGGCATATCCTATTCCCAGCAACTGAAGAGAAACCGGTTTGGCCATATCATTGGTCCAGCTAGTCCGATAAACTATCTTTAGCAGTGGCCAGAATTTGATGCTTCAGGAGAAGACAATCCCTCTGCATGCTCTGCACCTGCCATCTGTGTGATTCTGTAGGTGTTTGGTGGAGCGGGGCAATTCCTTCATGATTCGAGTACCCAGATTACAAAGGGAGACGTGCAATTTGATCGACTGCTGACAAAACCTAACCTCCTGCACAACAGCCTGATTTCAGAACCAGATACAAACACTCAGAACACTTGTATTGCCATGGAAAAGAGAGATTCATTCTCCGTTTTGTAGAAATGAATAGGAGGCCAGGAAGCTGCAAAGTATCTGAAACTCCTGATGCCTTGCGAGTGTTTCCCGGTTAAAATTCCACATGCCTTTTGCGTCAGCTCTTCATTCAAACACACTGCTAGCCCTGAACAGTGAAAATGCTTTCATTCTCTTGTTTTCATTTCTGAGTATAATTTTCCCTATGTGCAAGACATGGAAATGCAGGGTATATAGAAATCCTTTATGTCTTACAGAAGCAACAAATGCCGGTGATTGATATCCTCATTTCTTTGGAAAGGAGTTTAAAATGAATTGGCAATGGCTGAAATTATTCTACCTGCTGACATTCTGCCAAAGCTGGACACCTATTGAACTACTGGCAATCTACCAGGAATATAAGAAATATTAATAGCACCTTCTCCAAACTTTTTAATCTTTTCTAATTTGCTTTTGCATTTGTTTGCAGAGAGATTGCCAATTCCTTCTCTGCAGATATTTTGGTAAATTAATAAAGCAATTGTGGCTGTCACACTGTTGTTGGGTGAGATTATCTCTTGCAGTGAATTAAAAAATGCTATTGGAAAACTTGGTGTAAACACAAAGGTACAATTAAATCGCTACTCTTGCTATTCGCTTCTCAAGACAGCCCTGGTGTCAGCGATAACAAACACACCTGTGATACCAACACAGCCTACAGATAACAACGGGAATGACAGATGATACCAGTCACCAAGAGCAACACAAATGGGACTGAGTGACAAGTATTATGCAAACGTTTTAAGACAAAGTGTAGGGAGGGGATCAAGGATGAATTTGTTCATCTGCCCTGTGACATACCAATGGCCATGCAACGGCCTTGCAAACCGCACAGGAATATATGGATTTCTTTCTGTAGGGGAATGACAGGAGATGGAGAAGAGCCATATTCCACAGTTACATAGCCTGCCGTGGACAGAAATGGTCATAATTATCTCAGTTACTTACTAACACTGCCTGTATTTGGAAAATGGAGGAGGAGTGGGAAGTTGGGCAGCGATAGGAGACAGGGGTGCATTTTCCCACAATGGATATGTAGATCCTTTGGGGTTTTCTTACCATGGACGGGTGCCAAGGGCTCGTACACCACTCGGTAGCCCTGCAGGATTCCATTTGCTGCTGCCGGCTCTCCCCAAGACACGTTGAGCGTGGTGCAAGTGATTTCCGAGAACGCCAAGAAGCTGGGTGCGCCGGGGGCTGGAAGGATCACAAAGTTATTGGATTGCAGCGGCAGGAATATTGGGTCTGATATATATATTATAAAATGCTATTTATTGCCAAGCATAAATCTAAAGGAAACAAGCCGAGAATGGGGATTCATCGATTATATCAACACTTCCTGTAATCAATCCAAAACGCACGCTGTTCTGAGATAAGCAGACACTCCATTGCAAAACTAAAACTAAACAGAAAACAGGAGGAGGAAATCACAAAGACACAAATGGGAATGATGGATGAGAACAGGGGACAACTTCATTTCCCAATGGCTGCACCCTCAGTATCACAGTGTTCCCTACTCTACAGGCCCAATTTACTGAATTGAGTACACAAGGTATCTGCTGAGCACTGTGCCCACGCTCACAGGATATGCGTGCGCTTGCAAGTCCCAGTCTGTATGCACACAACAGGCATTTTTACATGATTTCACAAATACAGGCCTTAGTTTGCAAAAGTTTTAATGTGAACATTGGTCTACACATCTGGTGCGCAGTAATGATATTTTCTATTATCCCAGAACATAGACACTGTTGTGGCACATTGTCACATGCACATATCTGCTGCCGCCTGGTGGAACAAGGGCAGCAGGCAAAGTAGCCCTAAGTCTGACTGGTGTGTTGGGTCTTTGCACTAGAGCATATTTCATCTGCAATCCAGCGCAGCAATCTTCCACTTCATATGGGAACACATCCTCCCAGCACAGGGCATCCATTCTTGGCTAGTAACAGGACCCAAAGAGAACCAGCGAGCATGGCATGGTCTCCCCTCCAGAGACAAATGTACAAGGCTCTGGGACAGAAAAGCATCAAGAGAGCGTACAACTCTGGTGCATACTTCTCGGTGGAATCCAGTGACTATGGAACATCTGTTCTCCAAGGGCCAGTGTTTCCCCTATGGGACCAGATCTCCAAAGATAATACTTTTTCTGATAGCGTCCATAGCCGCAGAGAGCCGTTAAAAAAACAACATGATTCTTTTGTGATGTGGCTTTATCAGAGTATCTCAGCTGAGTTACTCCTGATATACACCAGCCACGTGGGAGATCAGAAACAGGGCCACAATCGTTTGGTGCTCAGTTATGACAGAGGGCACGGACAGATGACACAGGTATGCTGCCTTACACGGGGAACAGGAGAGGTGACTTACCATGGTGCAGCTGAATTGGGCACAACTGTTCTGTCTGTCTGATCCTTAAAACACAGTAAGCAAAGCTAAACTGCAGTAACATACCCCCTGTTTCATTAAGAGGTTTAGCTTCACTGCAGGTTAGGAGCAGACACCTCAAACTGTTACACTGGATCAGTAGATGTGCACTTCCGAGTGCTCAGTTCCCTCTTTATCTCCCCCCCCGCCCTGCACCCTTTACAATGGTATAATATACATCTGTGTATGCTCAGAAATCCTGTTACTATTCCACCCTCTTCTAGTTCATATTCTAGCATCAATTTCAGCTGTGAAATCATTTCCCAAAGGACTGATTCTTATTTGATCTAAACTGATTTGCCTAGCTCTCGTAACAACATGCTGTAATGACTTATTCCACAACGATCGCCTCACAGTACTGCATTTTACTGCCCGAGACGAGAATGAAGAGTTGTTCCAGAATAGGTTTGCACCACCTGGCTGTGTGTCTTGGTTGGGATGCTAGCAAGCCCCCCCTCTGCCTACCTGCTCCCAGTAACAGGCTCCAAACACAGGAACACACCAGTGAAGTCACTCTGGGGCATCCCTTTGTCACCGTTCTCAGAACCGCAGTCCCTGACATGCATAAGACCAGCCATTTTTGATAGTCCTGGAGTGGAGGTATGTCTACGCTGTCACCAGGGTATAGCCGTACCCCCATGCACATGCCCATGACCACTGCTTGGGAAAAGAAGAACAGCTCCATACCTGCCTGGAGCGTCCTGCCCTGTTTGGGACTGCTTCTTGGTCCATCCCCTGCTGCGTTGAAGGCAGAGACGCAGACCAGGTATTTGGTATGGCTGGTCAGGTTTTTCAGCCGGACTGTTGTTTCTGGAAGGAAGAGGACCTTCACTTTTTCGGTGTCATTCTGACAATCCATCTCCCAGTAATAAATCTATTAAGAACAGAGAGATGTTGCAGTAAAGACTGTACCCAAATTACAGAGTGTAGACTGTAGTGTAGGTTGTAAACTGCCACTGGGAAAATGGTGGCATTGTTAGCTCTGGACTCTCATTGAAATGATATGCCAGCATCGTTCACTGAATCCCAAAGTCCTTGCTTTATTCTTACTTAGACAAACTCCCCTCGAGTCTAATGAGAGGATGTTATAAATGATGTGTGGGTATTATGACAGCACCACTGGAAGAGCACAGCTGTGTCTGGACAGTCACCAAACCCATAGCCAGGTGACTTGGTATGGCTATGGCAAGCCCAAAGAAAGCTTGTTAGTGCAAGACATAGACTCTGTCTCCTTCTGAGGAGTGTTAACACAACCAGCATTACCACCTGGTGCTTGCAGCAAGCCCTTCAATCTGGGGGTGTCAGAAATATGGCCCATGGTAACCTACCATCCAGGCTTTGGTGCTGTCTGTGGATCTCGGCGTTGGCACACAGGCAGCATGCGGGGTGTACTGGATGGCCCCAGGTGCCACTCGGGATGACTGGATGGCTTGTTCCAGTCACTCTGGGACTGAGCTGAATATGGTACCTGCTCCAGCAAGCATCTGCTTCATGCTGAATCTAACGGCGTGTCCGTCAAGTCCCATGTGCACCAGGGCACTGGAGCAGTGGGGTGGCTGCTGTATGCAGTGCAGTCCCAGAGCAGCTACCATGCGCAATGTGGCTCCGAAGTAGCTGGGGAAGAACCGTGCAGCACGCAGTGTCCACTCCAGCTGCTCCAGGACCTGCACTGGATCTGAAAAGCGAGGCTGGCCTGTGCATCTGATCCAGCCTGTGGACTGGACCCGTGGCAGTCTTTTGAACCCACAGGGCCAGGTGAGTTTGACACCCCTGCTTTAATCTTTCAGGTTCTCCTCTGCCCTTATTCTAACACCTTACTGGAGAGGGCAATATTGGCTTTCCTGGTACCTTTTTCTATGGGTACTTCTCCCCATCGTTCCCCCCAACATAATTCCTTTCTGGATGCCACAACACTCCAAAGATGAATCTTTCCAAAGCCGGTGCCAACACTGCTTTGTGGACAGGCCTGGCCAGCATAACTACACAACAGCCCAAGGCAAGCCAGGGAGTTTTATGCCAGAGTCAAGCTATTAGAACTATACACATACAAGGGTAAAAATGCATGAATTGATATATAAGGGTGCTTGTGACTGCCAAGAAGTAATGCCAGACGATTCTCACTGGCTTGGCTTTCCTTCACTTACGGACCTAGCTCAGGGAGGGAGGCAGAGCCAGGCACTGAACTCAAGCCAATCTCTGATATTCGGAGCCTTGCCCACTCCCAGTCTCCAAGGGTTTGTTCCCATTCTGGAGAGACCGTACCAAAAAACATCTGCAGCGCGCCGAGTTTCCGCCAAGCCCGGTGCAATTATGACCATTGTTTAACTTGGTTAAAGTTAAAGAAGTGAAATAAACCAGCTGAAATCCAGCCTGGCTCAGTCTTGCAATCTGGAGAACGTTATGGATTTTCTGAGAGCTCACAATGGTTGACGTACCAAAGGCTCCGTTAATTTGCTCGAGTAGAATTCTCTCTCCCAGATTTTCTATGTCTTTGCTATCTGGAAGAGACATATTGCTCGCGCACGCTAAGCTCCCTGCCCTGAGCTGCACTCCCATCCTCTTTTTTGTGTGTGAATATAAACAGCCCCTTCTCCTTCTCCATCTCGTATGCTTTAGCTCTGCTTTGGGGACATCATGCCATTTCTTTCCTGCAGCCTGAGCATTGCTTTAATTTTCCTTGTGTAGCAAGGACTGCTGTAGCTAGAGGGTTCTCTCACAGGTAACAGTGAAGCCAAGCAAGATAAATGAAAGCAAGAGACAAGGGGGATTGCCTTGTAGCCTTGTATGTTCCCATTTTGGCTGTCGGCAGGAGGTGGGTCCCAGGCGATCTCTAGCTGGCTCGCAGAAAGGGCGTTCACTTGGATGTTCTGTGGGGCCATTGCTGGTGCTAGTGAGAGAGAAGGGAATAAGGAAAATTAATAGTGACAAGTAGAACTGGACTCGTATCCGGGTCGGATGCGTCCATTTGTGGAGAGACCCAAGACAGGCTCTGTTTATGCCACAACCCAGCTACCAGTCAGCTCTGAAGCCATCTAACATCCCAGAGAAGTCTCTGGGACAAACTTGCAACGCATGCAGGGTTGCTGGGTTCTCTGTCTCTTGGAGGTTGCTGGGTTCTCTGTCCCATGTGGACTAAATTAGGCAATGCATCAACCCAATCCCATCAGCAGTTCTTATGGGGGGAAAAAAAACAAGGGAGAGAAATCTCTCTCCTTGTAGTTTTGAGCTTTAAGGATAATTGTTAAAGCTGGCTTTTGTAGCGACTCTGCTATCCAGAACGGCCCGCTTCTGAAAGGAAACATGTAAAAAGAAGTAAATCACCTAAGCTCTGCCCCCTGCCCCCTGCCCCTCAATCAAAGTTAAACAGCAAGCCCGGTTTGTGTTATTGCAGACTGCTTCTCCGAAGCTTGAGAATTAGAGCTGCATACACAAAGAGGAAGAGGACGAGGGTTGGGGGACAAGAGACTCCATAAATCTGTCTCCAGAACAGTTTAGAAACAAATCATTAGACACTGCCTGTATGTACGGCCAACGCTGTTGATTAGGATCCTTCTTCGCCCTTATTGCATGAGATCTTCAAATACAAATCTTGAGCCGCCTTGGTTCAATGCGTTATTTGTTAGCATGCTTGTTATTCCTTCTTCTTGGTACGGCAGCACAGTAGAAAACTAATTTCTCCTCCTCTTTACATGCACCTGGGTCACTCTTATCTTTCCCCTTCGCTGTGATCCAACTCAGCACAGGTGGAACGTCTTCCCCAGTGACTGGCATAGATGGTCTGCTTTCAGACCTGCTGTCTGCCGCTGGCAGGTCTTAACGAAACAGCACACGTTCTGCTTGCAGAAAAGATTCCTAAATGCATCCTGTCCAAGCTCCCAAAAGGGGAAGGAGAAGGCAGGACACGAAATGATATTTCTCCTCCCTTCTTCTTATGCATGGGCAGATGGTACCGCAGCCTTTGCCCCGGTGCCTAAGAAAGCCGCCTTTCTGCTCCCTGCCCATTTATAGAGCACAAATAGAAGTGATAAAACATTCACTATCTAAGTAAGATAACCAGGGTGATCTGCTCCTCTGGCGAGTTCTTTCTTTGGGAAAGAATGACCTTCATAAGTCACACTTCCCCCCCACCTCCGTCTCTCTAGGGTTATAAAATAAAATAGTAATTAACACCCACTCAGCCTGACACCAACTATTTATTTTGTTCTAACTGTGTGGTTTCCATATTATCACTGCCCACCCTGCCGTTAATGGAAATGTTAATAACCAGCGCCAGGTTGTTGTGACAGATGCTTGGGCTCATTATCAGAAATTCTTATTTACCGCTCCATTAAACGACAGAATCGCACAAAAAAACAATTCAATCAAAAACTAACTGGAGGAATTTTAACAGCCACATTAATAATCCCAAACATAAATAAAGTTAATGTCTTTTGCATGTTTGCCATCAGCAACTCCATCGCAAAATTACTGTTGTACAATTAAAATGTGAAAGGTAGAATGGAGCACGGCTATTATCCTGGTGCTTGGTTAAAACTGTTTTATTATTATTATTGTTATTATTATAATGATTATTATTATTAGGTTGCTCTTTCAGCGGGAGGTGGAAATGCAGGAGGTGACAATGGGCAGAAATAAAACTCTAGCTGGGCCTGCTTGGTCGTGGGAACTCACTTAATTGCTGCCCTGCAACCCAATCCTTCTCTGTTTCATTGGGAACGGGAAGATAGCAGCAAGCTGACTGAAGGGCTGTGTTCAGGGCAACGTTGTGCAGCTACACAATGCGCTGAAACTCTCCGCTTCTGAAGACCCTTTTTTTTTTTGCAGAACACAAGAGCATGTGACCAATTCTTCTGCACAAAAGAAGCCCTGAAAATACATCTCGGAGACTTGATGATGATGACATGCTCAGGGAAACAGCAATATGTACAATCACAGAGGAAAATGGATCAGTTTAACAATTTATTTTCTTGCCAGGTGATGACATTACTGGATGCCCTGAACTGACAGCAATATTCTGCTTTGAAGCTTTGTCTACAGCAACATTTTTCTTTGAATTCCCAGTGCTAGGTTAGAACCACTTCAGCTCCCCGGCTGCAGACAACGGTGGGAGAGCTTGTCAAGCTGGGCTCCTGTCATTTTGTCATTTAACCCATTTTGGAGCAGATCCAGACAACACAATGGTTAAAATTTGCTGGTGATCCTTCTAGGCTGACCCTCTTTCTCCCTGGACCAAATTGCCGCTGGTGCAGTTGTGGGAAATCAGAAGGAAAAAAGTCAGTGCAGAAAAGACGTTGTTATTTATAAGTCCACAGCCTGACTACATGCAAATCGTGTTTGGTTTTATGCCCTGTGAGTCTGTTTCCCCGCTCAGCTCTCCAACTCGGAGACTTTCCGAGATGCACAGATTTCTCGATGACAGCGAGGGACAGCAAAATAGTGATGCTCATGCTTGACGCAGACAGCACATTACATTAAGGGTGAAACCAAATGGTTTAAAGACTCTCCAGAGAGAGTCCTGTCTGAGACCCCAAAACATTCACTAGAGGTCCAGGTAGCCTTTACTAGTACAAGCTAGCCAATTATAAAAGTGGAATAAAAGGCCCTTTACTATCTAGGAACACAGTTCAAGATTTCAGAGCTCTGGGTTTTTCACGGCTGTTGGCATCACTAATATATAAAGCAGGGCAGGAGCTGCATACCTCACCCTGCTTAAGGTGCTGGTGACATTATCAATTGTAGCAGCAAAGACACAGAACCCTGAGGGTCTGAACTCCGCTCTTGGCAGGTACAAAGCGTTTCACCTCCTCTGAGAAATGTATGTATTTGTCATTTCGAAGTCTGCAAATGTATTCCGTTCTGGAACCTCATGCAGCCTTTTGTAAGCACTTCTGTTTTAATAGGATTTCCATTCACCTTTGAGGCTGGTGCCATTAAAGAATCACTCAGCAAAAGGGAGACCAAGTTAGGAAGAAAGGGAGCAGATCTTATAGCTAATTAATAAAAATATAACAACCATGGGTTGGTCTGATGCCAACAGAATGGTGCCAAGATAGCAAATCAACAAGGATGCTACATAGAGATGCAAAAAGCAGAGCCAAGATTTGCTAACTCGGTGCCTAAAGTCGGGCACCTAAATCTATATGTAGGCACCTACCATACAACTAGCCTGGCTTTTTGATGCTACTGAGCACCTTTCATTCACGTGGAAGTCAGTGGGAGCTGCACATGATACCACCTTTACAGTAACATGATGGTCACCTGCCCAGTGGCCATTCTCTGTTGGAGCCCAGACTATTATAGGAGACGTATCCCGGCTCCACGTGTTGTTAATACGGGCTGTTAACCTCTCCAGGCAGTCCCGCATTTGGAACTTTTCATCAATTTGATGTTACTGTTGGCCTCTCATTTCTTTTCTTAGTGACAGCTGCTATGATGCGCGGTAGCACTGGAGCACACTGTAGGCCACAAATCCTTGTGATTTATTGTGTAAACTTAATAACTTTCTTCATGAAACCCTCCTTGCTGCTACTGTTACGTCTGCTTAAATTTCTGGGTAGCCAAGATTTTCTCCCTCTGCTGATGTTATCAATGCCAATATTACACTAGGCAATTTACAGACAAGCCTCGGACAAGGTCTCTGCCCTGCTGAGCTTACCGTTTAAATAAGCACGCAGATGAGAGCTGGAGGAAGAGCTGTAACAGAAGAACTGTGGGCTAAAAGAGGCTGCTTTGCATGCATCTTCTCACTTTCACAATTCAGTTTAAGATGCTAACACACCTTACCCTGGTCTACAGAGTGAGCATTATTTTTTTCTGCTCTTCAAAAATACCTTGAAATTAATGCGACTGATTTTTATTCGGCAGCAAGCATTATCTGTATTACGCTAATGATGACAGGCCAGGGCACCCTTCTACCAGGCACAAACACATAAAGAAGAGACAATCCCTGAGCTAAAGAGCTGACAGTCCAAATGTAACCTTATATACAACAGGCAGCAGTAGGGTGACCACCTTTTCAAAATGGAAAGGTGGGACACATGTCCGCCTCTCCTCCTCTCACCCCTCCTGCCTCCACGGGGGACATGGCCGGAGCAGAGCCGAAGGGAGCAGGGGCGGATGTGGGCTGCCCGCTGCTGGCTTGGGGCTCCCCACCCTGCTGCCTTTCCCTGGGAGGCCCGCAGCAGCTGTGCACCCCCTGCCCACCTGGCAGGCGTGGGGGGCACAACTCCGCACCACCACCCCTGCTGCTGCCAGGTAGGCAGGGGGTGCCTCACTATGGCAGTGCGGCCAGTGTGGGACTCCCAGGGTAGGACAGCAGAGCAGGAAGCCCTAATGCCACAGTGGGCTACTTTGTATCCACTCCCACTCAGTGCACAAATCCAGGGGGCAAATGTCCCCCCCATCTCCTCCCCCATCCCCTGGACGAGCCACCCGTGGCTCTGTCCCACTCCCTGCACCAGCCCTGGACCCCATGCACTGCCCAGGCTGAGCAGCCCCTGCCATGGAGGCCTCGATCTACCTCCCCTATAGTCCCCACCCCACAAATTTACCTGCAGGGAGCTGCTCTCCACGCTACCTGGCTATATTCCCAGCAAAGTGCACGGGTGCAGGCATGCATGTGCACATGGCGGCCCCTCCATCCCAACCCCAGCAGCCCCAAGCAGCTTGCAAGGGGAAACCCGCCATTTCTCAACCCTGGATCCCTGCACAAAACTGCAAATTCAGGAAAAATGTTGTCCCAGAGTTACGTAGCTCTGGACCAGGACTTGAGGTTCCCATCCCGGGACCGTCCCACCCAATTAGGGACGGGTGGTCCTCCTAGGCAGCAGGGCAGGGCATAAGGACACAAGGAGCCCACCCTGATCAGCAGCCTATGCAATGATCACA